CTGCCTCACAGAAAGAACTAGCTCTTAAATGGTGTTATGTCTGAGGGACTACTTAAAGGAACAGAAGAGGCTCCCTGGTACTTTTGGGAATTTGCATTTTAAACAATTTCCAATGATGATCAGATACAGAAGGAAGAGGCACACTTCGAGAAACGTCATCTTTTGCTCTCAAACTGGATTGAGCCCACTATTAGCCTAGTGCAAGGGTGTGCAGGAGCCACAGGTTCAGGTCTCCCTGCAGGGATTGTAGCCAGTACTGTTTGCATACATGGGCAATCCATGACATCTACTTGAACCTCTAAACTTCTATATGGAGGGAGCCTGCACACCCCAGCCGATCTCCATCTCAAGGGACTGAGAGCCGAAGCCCCTTGCTTGTAGTGCTCGAATGTTTACGATACTTTAAGTATTGCTGCAGAAATCCTAATGGATTCCAAGAGCCTAGCTTCTCTCTTCCTGCTCCCTGGGTGGCGCCAGAGCAGAATGGAGGTGCCCTTTCCGCTCTGCTGGACAGAACCTCCAGAATGTCCCCTTGTTTGTCAACTTGACTCCAGCTTCCCTCAATGGCAGAGGAGATGTGTGACTTGGAGCCTGCGCTGATACTGAAAGCAGATAATAAACTGGGGTCTTAAAGCTTTTAACTGTCTAAAAAAGGTCTTTCCGTGCAGTAATGTGTGTAACACCCGAGAGGCACAGCTCACTGGGAATGTGAACGAGGAGTAGGTTTTTGAGAGAGAAGGCCTGCTTCTTTATTAAGAACTTTAAAAACATTAAAAAAGAAAGCAAAAACTGTAGCAAGCCAAATAAGAAAAACAGAGAACCCCCCAAGTCTGACCAACTGTGATAAACAATGGTAACTTGATTTATTGCAGCACCGGCATCTGCAGTCTGATGCCAGGACACCTCCCTGGTATCTCTGAGCCATCTGATGCCAGGACATCTCCCTGGTATCTCTGAGCCATCGTTCATGCTTAGCCATAAATCTCACACTTTATGTGCTTGAAAGTAATAAAGTTCTCCATCCCATTGACTTTCTGTTACCCATGTTCTTGCCCTTTAGAGGGTTGGACCATGGAGCGCAATGTGGCAAATACTGAAGTGAGACACGCCGTAGGAAAATAATCTGCTGTCAATTTACTTCCCTCTTGGAGCCGAGCAGCCCTTTCCTCTGCTGCTGGGTCCCAGCTCTTCTCTGGTCCATCAGATGGCCAGAGGGTGGCTATCACTCTTGGACTCTTTAGTGGTCTCTTGTCACATGGACAAGGGAATCACTGCTTGGGGCTAAGGGTCTAGACATGCATCCAACCTGGAAGATTCTAGACCTCATGGGCAGTTATGTGTAGGGGATATAGCCCTAAGAGGAGCCATCGTACCCCGGCCATTGGATGGGGGCTGGGTTCTCTGCATGGCAGGGGCATCTGAGTACCGTTTAAGTTTACCACTGGAAAAATGTGGGGCGCAGAGTGTGACACACAGAGATGGGAGGTACTCTTCAGGACTGCTTCACAGATCATCGAGGGGCTTGGCTTCTGGAGGGTCTCAGCACCAATGGGAGAGACAGGACATGGGTGCTGATAGGCCACACTGCCCCTGGAAGTGGACTCTTTTCTGTACCATATCCACTCACTCCCTGCCCCCTTCCCCCCGCCCCCAGAGTTCTCATAGCCTTTGTGAGCAGGTGGGAGGAGAAAGACTGAGGGGAAGGGGTCACTGCGGGTCATATGCTAATGCTATTTCATTGACCCTGAGAGCTTGTAAGGTCCAAGGAAAGTTGGGCTACGTAAAATAAAAACTTTTTAAAAAGGAGAGGCGTACTGTAATTGGCAGACAGAATGTGTCGTTGTGTTTGTGTCTGTGTGAGAAATGACTTTCATTTAGAAATGTTGGCAGTGGTATCCACTGCGTCCCTAGGACTTTTAAAATGATATTTTCTGGGCTTGGAAAGCAGGCAGGCAAATCATGGAATTTTGGCTTCAACGTTTCTAGAATGTAGGCAAGCAGAGAGAAAGGCGACTATAATTTGGCTTTGAGGCTTATATGGGTTGCAGAGCAAACCAAGCAAGGTTACCATGGCAACACTTCTACTGTTTATAAAAACAAAGTTTTTTTCCCTGACAAACATACCTCATATTTAATAAACCTCAGTCCGCAGGGGCCTCCTTATGCCATTTTAACTTGGGAAGAATTTTATTATTGCAGTTGCTTTCTGACACCAAAACACTTGGCACTAGAGTGTTAAGTACTGATATCTAGCAGGGGAGAGTAAGAGGCGCTTGGTGGGGGTTGGGGTGGGGGTGGGGTGGTGATGGCTGAGTAACATGAAAACACAAAGCACGCCTTTCACAGAACTGGAGTCTGCTGGGCTGGCCCCCAAGTGAGCATTCAGAAATAGAGATTTCTCCTTTGATTCTGTTTATGTTCTAGCCAAAACCCATATTCCATTCACCCATCTTTTCCCTCCTAGGCCCTGAGCTTTCATGGGGCACTGTCTAGAGGTGAAACCCCCTCCCCAATTTTAAGCCCTGTCTGGTTATCTGTGCCATTTTAAATGCCAATGTGTGAGACAGCTCGTTATAATACTCTGCTACTGAACCAAAAAGCAGAGACACTTTCAGATGGGTTCTTGTAGCTTAAAAGGGCTTAATTTTAGATCATATAGCTGGAGAAGGCATAGGAAGACCCAGGGGCCAGTGGATCCTGCTTCCGTGTCCACTGAGCCAGAGAGCCTGATTCTGCCCCAGCTGGCACCATTACTACTTCCAACTCCAATCTCTAGGAGGACAGTTCTCTTGTCCCAGTTCCGGGGACCAGGGCCTCATATGCTGGGTGAGTAAGCACCCTACCTGTAAACTACACGTTCCAGCTTACAAGTTTTAGAAATTTAGGTTCTGAAGGAAGTACTTTTGAGCATCCTTGACCTGAACTTAGAAAGTGGCCAGAAACCTCAGCAGCATTTGCAGTTAATCCAGAAGCTGGGAGCAGTTTACTGCCATCCCAAGGTCTTTGTTTTCTGGGGCCCCTAGGCCCTTGGGAAGTTGTGAGGGCCCATTTCTAAGCTCAGGCATTGCATTATCCACAGAGGTAACTTCTGGGGTCACAGTCCTTTAGGGATGACAGGGCTGGAATACTGTGACGTCACTCCTCGCTTTTCTCATTTATGGTCAATCAACACTTTATCAATAACTGGAAAGACCGTTGCTTTAAAATGGTTACCCTTATGAATCTTACAGGTAGGTTAGTCTAAGTGGCCGATCTGAGAACTACACAGGAGCGGTTTGCCTGAGGGTCAGAGGCGCCTCCAGGGAAGGTGCCGCCTGCTGGTGCCCCCTTGTCTAGCCACTGTTACTGTGTGAGGAAAGCGCAGTAATGGAGGATGTGACAATGTTGCTCAGACCTGAGCTCTAGAAAAGAGGGAAGGGACGGAGACGGGGGTAGGAGTACTCCAATACCCCTGGTTGGACTGTACCGGAAGCCTTGGCAACTGCAGTTCTCCAGGTGGGGAGGACCCAGAAAAATGCTATTTTCTGGTGTTCTTGAGGCCCTCTTGTACCCACTGCCCAGGGAGTTTGGCTCTGAAGAGGATTTCAGGAAGAGCTTGGAGCGTCTTTAAGGCAGGTTGGCCAGCAGGGGGCAGCACCTACCAGTCCTAGAAACTGCCGAAGGGGACAGAACCCCCTGACCTCAGTGGGGAGCACCCCTGGGACAGCGGGGACGCCTGGACCACAAAGGGCAGGAAGACCCACCTCGAAGGAACCTTGGCCAGCACCAGAGGCTGCAGACCCGGCTAAGAAGCCTGCGTCCGCTGCCCCTCTCCTCAGACCTCCTTTCTGTAGGGAGGGACAAAGTTGTTCCCACAGCTCAACTGGCTTGTTGCCTCCTTTACGGGTATCAGAACCCTAGGCTCCCTTAAGAGGATTCTGGGCTCCAGCAGCCTTGCTCTGTTTAGGTTCTTCGCATAGGTGGAGACCGAGAGCTGCAGAGAGCGCATGGCCGCAAGGGGGCGCCCGAGCCCGGAAGACCTTCATTGTGACATTTTCATACACTTCTGAAAAGTGTTATTTCTTGTATATTGTCTTTATCATCCTCCTCCACTGTCTCCCCCCTCCTCTAAACATTCCCACCACTGCTTCCCCATCCAAAACTACATACATTGAATGTCAAGGTTCCAGGTAGTCTCTGTTCATAACTTTAAAACCTACTCCAGAATCAAATTTGCCTTTTTCTGGGAAAATCATCTTTCATAGAAGCAAAGGCTTACCTTGGGTTCCCTGCAGGACACTGTGAAGGCAGATCGATCCTAAATGTAGAAGTTGTGGGCAGATGGGAACACCATAGGGGAGGGGGCACACCCTCTTTGCAATTGGTGACTTGGCAAGCTATTACTTTGTAAGCAAATCATAATATATATATATACATATACACATACACACACACACATATATATATAAAATATTTGGCATATATATATCAGCAGTAGACCAGGCCACCCTCCCCTTGGAAGGCCCCACCCCTGGCTTAGAGCAGTCGAAGCTCTTTAAGCACAGAGACCCAGTGGTTTCTCCCTGCCTCTTTAACAGAAACAGGAGGTGAGAGTTCACTGGGAGAGTCTGGCTTTCTGTGGAAGAGGAGCAGCTGGAAGCTGGCTCCTGAAGCCGTTGGTGTTGGAGCTCTCTCACAGCTGCCGGCTCAGGCCCCCTCCTCCCTGCTTTGTGCTGGACCCCTGCATGTTATTTATCAGAGGTTTCCTTGGACTGCCTTTGGGAGGAGAGTCCAGGACACAGGCTGCAGTGTCCTCTGGCTGGGGCGTCTGACTTCTGACTGTGTCTTCCTAAGGCTTTGGAGATCAAGGGCCGAAGGCTAGACGGGAGCCTCTTGCACGTATTTTTCTCAGTCTTTGTTCTTACCACTTTGTTTTCTGGCTTCTAGTCCTTTTGGCATCAGGAGAAGTCAGGGAGGCTGGGATAGTGTCCAGTCCATAGCTCATTAGGAACCCATAAAGAATGTTGGTGACTCTGAGGTAAGCAGGCTGCCTGCACTAGAGCTCTAGGGTGTGGGTGAGGGTGACAATACCTGCTTCTCCTTGAATGATGGAGATGGAGGGAAGGGCCGGACTCCATCCTCACCTCCTGTGTGGAGCCCTGCCTCTGCTGTGATGCTGGGGAGTGGGGTTGGTCACCTACTTCCTGAGGTCAGCAGCCATGGACTCAGATGTACCTCTGTATCCTGGCCCTGCTGGCTAGGAACTGTGCATCTGCATGGGAGAGGGGTCCCCTTCTCCCTCCACCATTATTCAGAGCTCATGTCTGCACTCACCATCCACAATCGGGGTCCACATGGCTTCACAGAGTCCTGCAGGGACCCCAAAGTGCAGCTTTGCTTCATGCAAGATGGTTTTCCCAGGAAAAGGCAAATCTGAATCTGGGGTGTGGTTTAAGTTACAGACAGACTATCTGGAACCTTACCATACAGTGTGTGTGGTCTCAAAAGTTCTCTGTGCTCAGGGCCCACAGCCACAGCAGGGCGTTGCTTGAGCTTCCCTGATCACACCTGTCTTCCGTTCCCCACACCTGGGCTTGTAGAGCGCTGCTTTCTCCTCATGCCTTGGTCCACCATCTGTATCCCACCTCCAATTCAGATAGGAGTGGTAGCTCCCAACCCCCACCCCACCCTTCTCTGTCACACTGGAGTAGGTCTGTGCCCCAGACCTGTCTCTCTTGGCATTCTGAAGGATGTGTGCATAGGAGGGAGGCCTCTGGAAAGGCCTCATTTGCTTGTCACCTGTTGCTTGCTCTGCAGGGAGCTGCCATGCTGGGAACTCCAAAGCCTGTAAAGCTGGGCTGGGAATGGTGCTGAGTAGCAAGTACTTGTTCAGCATTCCTTGGGACTCAGTCCCAAGTGCAAAACAAACAAACAAACAAACAAACAAAGCAGAAAAAGCTTTCAAAGACTGTAAATACCAGAGGAGCCCTCATCATCCATGTGGATGCATTTGGAAATGAGCATTTCCAATTGTCCCAGTTGGAAAGGGGGCAATAAATCTGACACTGCCCTAGCTTACAGACTGACTCCAGCATCACTGGAGACCTGAGAGCGCATCCAGCTACACCAATGCAGAGTCTCAGCCTGCCAGAGCTAAGAAAACATAAATACTGACTTTCAGTTTCCAAACTTGGGATAGTTGTCACACAGATCTATGGGTCACTCACATGGTGGGTGCCATATCTGCAAATTACTCACTCCTAAAATTTTTGGAAATAACTGGCATTTCCCTAAGAAATTACTACCTTCTAAAAGGTTGATTTAAAAATATTTTTATGTATCATCTGTCTGTCTATCTATCTATCTATCTATCTATCTATCTATCTATCTATCTATCGATCTGTCCATGTTGATGTGTGTGTGCCGTTTGAGCGCTGTGAGCACGGAGGACAGAAGATTTCAGATACCCAGAATCTGAGTTGTTACAAGCCGCTGTGAGCCAAGTGACTTGGGAAAACAACCTATCTTCAGGATGTTTAATTACACAGGACCATCCTGACACTCAAGAGACATTGCCACCAGGTTGTAACTGTAGTTTGCTCAGTTATGTCATTTCAAACTCTTTATCTGTTAAGACATTTGTTCTTTATGTCAAGAACTGAGGATTTCACAGTACCTTGTCAGGCTGTTTAATCGGGAATCGGGCTTGGCATTGTTCTACAGGGTCTCTACCCTGGCTAGTTTCTGTGTCAACTTGACACAGGCTAGAATCGTTTTGGAAGAGGGAACCTCAGTTGAGAAAATTTCCCACCAGATGGGTCAAGGCTGCAGCACATTTTCTTGATTGATGATTGATGTGGGCGGGCCCATCCCACAGTGAGTGGGGTTACCCCTGGGCAGGTGGTTCTGGATAGTATAAGAAAGCTGCCTGAGCAAGCCAGGAGGAACAAGCCTGTGAGAAGCTCCTCCATGAGCTCTGCATTGGTTCCTGCCTCCAGGTACCTCCTGCCCTGACTTCTCTGGATGATGGACAACACTTTGTAAGATGAAATTAACCCTTTCTTCCCCAAGTTGTTTTTGGTGATGGTGTTTTACCACAGCACTAGAGCTCTAACTCAAACAGCCCTCTTCTGTCAGCTGTACCACTTGTCCCTCTCCTCCTTCCCCCAGTGGATGGTTGGCTGGCAGGGCTATCCCAGTAGTGCGGTTCTAGCTGACAATCTGCCTTCTTGCAACTGAGGGGGCAATACTGGTCCCTCCAACTTCCTGCTTCTCCTCCTCCTTGAGATGAGTCATCCTGGGTCTGCCCAGGCTCTGCAGCGTCGGCCCCACTCATGGGCAGGTCTGCAACAGCCGCCACAGTATTTCTCCTGTCAATCTCAGCTTGCGGTTCCACATTCACTCTCCAGGCTTTTTGGAAAGACCATTATGGGTCTGCCATCTTTCTCTGCATTGCATTGTCATTTTGCCCATGCTCTTAATGATGTCAGTTGTGACACCACTGGAGCTGTGGACTCAGGGTGTCTCCGTGGGCTTCCTGTGACAGTGGGTGCCGGCACTGTGGTGGTGGTGTGTGGAGACACCAGCTGCAGAGCTGGGAGCACAGAGTGGCTGAGTACCTTTGCAGGGAGATCTGCTCAGAACAGGAATATTACCTCCAGATTTCTGCTTGGGAGATAGCTGTTTGGGTTCCTTATATTTCTCTGAACTTCCCTCACAGAATGGTCTTCTAATTCCATAGCACACTCATCCTGGAATGCACCCTCTCATCTTTTCCCTTCAGTGTACCCTCTACGGGACAAGGTTTAGGTTTTGCTCTCTCTGCATACTCTTTCCTTAGCCCTTGTTTTGTACTGTCTCTGGTCAGCCTCTGGCTGATGTGTCTCCTGGTTCTACTGGTTTGTTTTGGGACAAGGTGTTAAGCACACGTCTCTCTCCTGGGCTCACTGTAAGGCAAACCATCTGTCACAATAAGTCATAACTATTGTCATCTGTGGGGAAAACCTATTCCTTACAGACCCTGCCATGACCTCACTAGTTCTTTGCCAACCCTGTGCCCCATAGACTCCTCCTGCCTGCCTGCCCATCCTTTCAGCCTCTTTTCTGAGTTCTCCTGACTGTCTGACTACATAGCTCTGCTGCTCTTTATTCTCTGAGCTCTTGAACTAGGTGGTATCTGTGTGAGAAGTTTGGTCCAAGTCTGTGCCTCCAGCAGGTTCTAGCTGTTCAGGGCAAGAACTGCTTCTCTCTGAGACAGAGTCCTCCTAGCTCACAGTGGCCTTAAACTCAGTATGTAGAGCAGGCCAGTGGCAAGCTTCCGGTCCTGAGTGCTGGGATTGCAGATGTGTGCCATCACATTCAGCTTGTGTGGTGCTGAGGATAGAGCCCAGGATCTGTGTATGCTCAGTGAGCAGTCTACCAAGTGACCTATGCTCCTGGCTCAAGAACTGCTGTCTTATTCCTCCAGACCCACTCACACACAGCCCTGGGGAGTGAGCGTGTGGTACTGGAGGGCAGAAGCCACATGTGGCCCTGACCTTGGGTTTCCAGCTCTCTCTAAGCCACTTATATCATATGTGACTATGGCATGCTGTCCCCAAATAACTGTAATTTTAATACTTTCAGAACAAGCCATACTACCGAGGAGGCTGGTGTGACAGAGCACAGCTCTATCCCTGTAGGTAGCCATGGTATGGGTTCTCAACCTGTGGATTGTGACCCCTTTGGGGTCACACATCAGATATCCTGCATGTCAGATATTTGTCTTAGGATTCATAATAGTAGCAAACTTAGAGTTATGAAGTAGCAACAAAATGATTTCATGGTTGGGGGGTCACCTCAACATGAGGGACTGTATTAAAGGGTCACAGTATTAGGAAGGTTGGGAACCACTGGTCTAGATAGAGCTACCCTTACACTGGCCTTCTCTGCTCATTTGTGACATTGTCCTTATACATGGGGACACCCCGATGCTAGCACTTTCCAATGGTTCCACACAGTGGAACTCACTCATTATGGAAAACCTGGGCAGCTGCGTGGGAATGTGCCCAGCTGGGGAAAGGGAAAGACATCTCACTTGGTTCAACTTAACACTCCTGCCTTTTGGATAGAAGGCTGCCTCTCTGCTTTGAAGGAAGGAGAGGGAGGGAGTATGTTGAAAGTATCGGGGTAGGGCCTGGGTACTGCAGAGAGTGGATCTGGACAGGGTGACTGGGTGCCTTGGGTGGCTGTGGGACTTGTAGGTATTACTGTCCACAATCAGTTCTACTCAAGAAAAGTCCACATGTCCTAAAAGTCAGTCACACAAAATACAACCACCTTGTCTGCCCTCAGCACCAGCAAGTGCGTGGCACATGCCTTCACGCCTTGCAGACACATGGTGTGGTGGATAGTGGTCCAGACCCGCAAGTTGGGTTTCCTTCAGGGGTTAAGATGTGAGGGCTTTCAGGTGGGACAGGCTTCTAAATGAAGCCCTGGGGAGGTAAAAGCAGGAAGATCAGCAGTGCAGGGTTATCCTTGGCTACACAGTGAGCTGCTTTGCATCAGCTAGCTTTCTTACAGCTCAGACCCTCAGTGGGCTGGGCCTTCCTACACGAGTTTATAGTGTTGTTGTTTTTATGCCTCATAGATATGGCTGTGGGCCGAGGTCTTCTCTGGGCAGTTCTAAGTTCTTTCTTCTCAAGTGAATAAGTCTATGTTGAGTTGACAGCTACCTAACTGTGACAATGAGGACAGGGTCAGCCTGAGGTACACGAGCTCCATTTCCAAAGAGTAAACAAAACAAACCCAGAAGGTCTACCTGGGTTGGGAGACATATTCAGCCTTGGGCTGGTTACTCAAGTGCAGTGACAGGGCCTTTGATCTTTCCATGTTTAATGTCTGTACAGAAGAACACTGGTGGTCAGGCTGCTTGGAAGGGAGTTTAGAGTCTTTACACACCCTGCTCCCTCCCCCTTCCTTGAAACCCTGACTTTTCCCTGACTTTTCATCACACACTGAAGAAACTCCTTTAGACACTATGAGTTCAGCTATGACCCGTAAACCTGCTTGACCCTGAAGGCATGTGTGTGTAGCTTTTAAAAAAAAAAAACCCGAAGCAAATAAATAACACAGAAAAACAAAACAACAAACAAAACCTGAGTTGTTTCCTTTCCCAAGCAGTACCTGCCGCCGAAACAGCAGCCGCAGCAGCCTCAGCAGCCTCAGCAGCCTCAGCAGCAACGCCAGCAGCAGCAGCAGCAGCAGCAGCCCCTCTAGCAGCAACAGCAGCAGCAGAAGAACTAGTAACACAGGCAGCAGCAGCAGCCAAAGCAACAGCAGCCCCAGATCCAATAACACAGACAACAGCAGCAGCAGCAGCACCAGAACTAGTAACACAAGCAGCAGCAGTAGCCATGGCAACAGTGGCCCTAGACCTAGTAACACAGGCAGCAGCAGCAGCAGACCTAGTAACAGAGGTGGCGGCAGCAGCACCAGCACCAGCACCATCAGACCTAATAACACAGGCAGGAGCAGCAGCAGCAGCAGCCATGGCAACAGTGGCCCCAGACCTAGCAACACAGGCTACAGCAGCAGCAGCAGACCTAGCAACACAGGCAACAGCAGCAGTCATGGCAACAGTGGCCCCAGACCTAGTAACACAGGCAACAGTGGCCCCAGACCTAGTAACACAGGCAACAGTGGCCCCAGACCTAGTAACACGGGCAACGGTGGCCCCAGACCTAGT